GACACTACATACTAATATACACCTGAACACCAGCAGGAGAGGACTCTTTAAAGTAGAGACACTACATACTGATATACACCTGAACATCAGCAGGAGAGGACTCTTTAAAGTAGAGACACTACATACTGATATACACCTGAACATCAGCAGGAGAAGACTCTTTAAAGTAGAGACACTAAATACTGATATACACCTGAACATCAGCAGGAGAGGACTCTTTAAAGTAGAGACACTACATACTGATATACGACCTGAACATCAGCAGGAGAGGACTCTTTAAAGTAGAGACACTACATACTGATATACACCTGAACATCAGCAGGAGAGGACTCTTTAAAGTAGAGACACTACATACTAATATACACCTGAACACCAGCAGGAGAGGACTCTTTAAAGTAGAGACACTACATACTGATATACACCTGAACATCAGCAGGAGAGGACTCTTTAAAGTAGAGACACTACATACTGATATACACCTGAACATCAGCAGGAGAAGACTCTTTAAAGTAGAGACACTAAATACTGATATAACCTGAACATCAGCAGGAGAGGACTCTTTAAAGTAGAGACACTACATACTGATATACACCTGAACATCAGCAGGAGAGGACTCTTTAAAGTAGAGACACTACATACTGATATACACCTGAACATCAGCAGGAGAGGACTCTTTAAAGTAGAGACACTACATACTGATATACACCTGAACATCAGCAGGAGAGGACTCTTTAAAGTAGAGACACTACAGTACATACTGATATACACCTGAACATCAGCAGGATTCAGCCCCTCTGAAGGGTTAAAATCCTATAAATGACCAAATATTTATTAGTTATAATCAAATATTTGTATTTTAGTATTTAGTATTTTTATAGTTTTAGGAAGGGAACATTTCCGGGGTTTTAGGACTCATTCCTGCACCCCTCTACAGAAAGAGGCCTCTGGTCGGAGACGGCTGTTGTGTCTGCTGTTGCTCAGCTGTTCCCAGTCTCCCTGGATCTGGTTTCAGTGGAAATATCACCTTCTCTTTCGCCCGGCAGCCGGTGTTGAGTTGTTGAGTCGGACGTCTGATCTGCAACAGGAGCAGAACATTAACTTCATGCTGCTTTTGACAGGAGGGGAGGCAGTCCCACAGAAAGCATGTTGAAAAAGGCATTATTTGTATGGATCAGATAGATCATAAGGGACGTCTAACCTTTTATGATATATAATAATAACAAAGTAATAATATACTTCTTTGATATAGCACCTCAAACATTTAACATGAAACAAAACAGAAAACATTTAATAAACACAGAGAACCAGCGATGAAACACAGCAAACAGAAAGTATATTAGTATTAAAGGTGGGGTAGATAATGGAGAAACCAGCTCGAGTGCGCTAGGATTTGAAAATACACAACCGGGAAAAATCTGCCACTTCCTCACAGAGCCCCTCCTCCAACACAGGAACGCGCACATGACCAATGAGGGCACGAGATAAGTTTGTGCCCAGATGGGAGGCTGACAGGCAGGTAGGCCATCCAGTTACTTTAGCCGGCTCAGATGATTGGTCGTGCTTTTTACAGCGCCACGGCTTCCACACATGACTTTTGTTTATGGATTTATTGTCAAAGCACTTCAGATATTCATTGCTATCGGGATGTTAAGAGCATTCCATGGAATATAACAACAAGTGTTTCTCGAGCCGGTTTCTCAAACTTACCTACCCCACCTTTAATCAAATACAAAATTAAGAGAAAATCCCACAGCTGTAGTTTATTTATAGACATTGTGCTTCATAAACAATGCAGATAAAGAAAACCTAGCACTGATGCACCAACTCTTACTGAGTGCAGGTTCATGCACCGTTATCATGCATATAGAGACATGATGCAGCAAATTACAATGAACATTTTGCATTGAAGCTACACCTACAGTCCAGATATCACTCTGTTGCAGTACCAGAGAGAACAGAACACAACCCGTATGATAGCAGCTCCAGTTTCCTGCAAAGAGGGGAGTTAATTTTTCATTAGCTTTGAAAAAGGAGAGTTGTTTCTGCAGGCTCTCTCGCTGTTAGTTGCTCCTCTGCTCCTCTATATTGGACCAGAGGGAGCTCCGTCAGCCGGATCATTGCTCCACTCTTTATTTCAGTCTGCCTCCCTCCTCTTCCTCACCTCCTCGTCCCTGTATCAGCTGCACAGAGCATCAGTTACTCAGCTACCTGTGCTGTTATGTAACTGTTACTGCGCTCTCTGGAGCCCCTTTGTGAATCTATAGCTGCTGAGTCACTCTCAGACTGTGTGCAGTTTTAATTATGAAGTCTGATGCTCTGATATGGAAAGTTCACTGAAGGACATCTCAGTAATACATCTTGGGTTATTTCCTGTACTGTATGAGATGCCCTTTATAGAGTGATGCAGTGGTTAGCATCACAAGGGATTCCTTAACAATTGTTTTTTAATATGTTTTCTTCCTTATAGCAAGGTAAAGCAATGGAAATATACTAAATGGAGCATACACTTAAGTAACAATCCTTTTGTAGGTGTCCGACTGTTATAGGTAGAAGAGTGGTGCAGGAATGAGTCCTAAAACCTGGAAATGAGTCAGCATTTTACCACTTCCGGTTTCCTTGTCTCCCTTGTCGTCTTATACCCTTATGTGTCTTAAAAGACATTGCTAACAAGTGTCTAAATGAGACGACTAAACGCCATCACGGCCAACATTAGCCACCTTTAGCTTAGCGGTGGTGACGTGAAATCATGTGACCGTGCTGTAGTTCCTTTATAGCCCAACATTAGCCACCTTTAGCTTAGCGGTGGAGACGTGAAGTCATGTGACCGTGCTGTAGTTCCTTTATAGCCCAACGTTAGCCACCTTTAGCTTAGCGGTGGAGACGTGAAGTCATGTGACCGTGCTGTAGTTCCTTTATAGCCCAACATTAGCCTCCTTTAGCTTAGCGGTGGTGACGTGAAGTCATGTGACCGTGCTGTAATTTCTTTATAGCCCAACGTTAGCCACCTTTAGCTTAGCGGTGGAGACGTGAAGTCATGTGACCGTGCTGTAGTTCCTTTATAGCCCAACGTTAGCCACCTTTAGCTTAGCGGTGGAGACGTGAAGTCATGTGACCGTGCTGTAGTTCCTTTATAGCCCAACATTAGCCACCTTTAGCTTAGCGGTGGTGATGTGAAGTCATGTGACCGTGCTGTAGTTCCTTTATAGCCCATCGTTAGCACCTTTAGCTTAGCGGTGGAGACGTGAAGTCATGTGACCGTGCTGTAGTTCCTTTATAGCCCAACATTAGCCACCTTTAGCTTAGCAGTAGTGACGTGAAGTCATGTGACCATGCTGTAGTTCCTTTATAGCCCAACATTAGCCACCTTTAGCTTAGCAGTAGTGACGTGAAGTCGGCCTACAAAAATACGTCACCCCTCACTACTGTAGGCTATGCACTGAAAACAGCCAAACTATCTCTTCAAGGTCTCTGTTCAGTTAGTTTGCAATGTATGTGGATGTCTAGATAGTTGTGTAGTCAGAGATATGTGTAGTACGCTGACTATGCATAAGTACCTGATTCAACCCCACTGCAAAAAAAACCTACAGTTTCTGTGTATGTGTATACTTTATAAGTGAAAGAGAGTCATAACAGTGCTGCAGTAATGTCTAGCTAGCACCATGTCATTCGGTCAATTAGCACTGCAGTAAATGTGTAATTGCCCTCCAGTGAAGACACACATGCTTGATGGATGTTACGAAGCTGACCGGAGGCTCCGTGCTGCCTTCAAGGTCAGCGGGACATGTTTGTTTGTTCAGTCTCCTTCTGGGACCACACACACACTCCAGTGACGTTATTTTACCAGGAACACTTTCACTGGAATCTAAATGATCTGGGAAAAGGAAAATTAGAAGCATGATGTCTACATTTTTTTGTATGAAGTTTGAATTATTTTTTTTGCTACTGCCAGCATGGCTCTTAATCATAAAAAGCAAATGTTCTCCACAGACTGAGCCTCTGTTTTAAAGAGTTGCAAGTGCTGTCCTACACCAGGCAATGAGTTCGGATCGGCATACAAAAAGACATCATCTCTGCACACCTCTATGAGGGTCTTGTGTTTGTTTTAACTGAATCATTTCCAGTCTGTTTAAAGTGGCTAATGTCCTTTTTTAGGGAGAGCAAAGCAGTCCAAAGCTATTGCTAACTACTTAGCATTTTGTCGAGGGAACCAGGGAGATGCTTACTACTGGTTGGGACGACAAAAATACTACAGCCCTGCATGGGGGGGAATGTGAAGCCTCCATAGCATCTGCAGAATGAGACATAGCCATTACCCCATCAAGGCCTCTCACTCACGCCTTGCCTCCTTCATACCACTCACAGTATCTGGGGAGAAATCATCCGGCTAATGACACCGACAAATGCAACACCACCAAGTCAGAGAGGAGGCTATCAGTTTGAAGCAAAAGCATGCGTTTTTACAACATGCATTGACACTATTGGAGTCATTATTGTAGTGCGGTAATTGATTTGAACCGTCTTTTTGTTATCTGTTCCTGCACAGGAGACAGGAGTCTGTTGTGTTCAGTCGGTCTGACTCTATTAGCCTGCTCTGCGTCTGTCACTGTGTTGTTGCATGCCTGCAATAATGATGTAAGCTCCTACAAAGTGTGCAATGACAGGTCTGACTGCACCGACAGAACACAGGCTAAATGATTTCAACATCTAGAAACCCACAGGCTCCTTTTCACTCTTTTCTCTTTATATTATCTACCACCAATTCCTGATATGGAGAGTTTATTCAGCCTGTTTCAAGTTGACAAAAAGCCAGCTCACATGTTTTAATATTTACTTAATATATAGCATTCGTGATGCAGCCACTCTTTGGTTCCTTACTGCAAAATAATATCAAGAAAATTGCAATTACAATGAACTTGAATTCCCTTTTTAACTTTTAAACGTAGCCTATGTTACTGGTTATTAATTCCCCTTGCTAATCTGTTGTGTGTGTTTGATTACAGACGTACTCCGGTCTCTTCTGTGTGGTCATCAACCCGTACAAGAACCTTCCCATCTATTCAGAGAACATCATCGAGATGTACCGAGGGAAGAAGAGGCACGAGATGCCGCCGCACATCTACGCCATCTCTGAGTCGGCGTACCGCTGCATGCTTCAAGGTACGACACAGCGTTTTATTCTTCTAATTGGTATTCTTGATCTTGGTATATCGGGTTGGGACTGAGTCCTAAAACCCTGGAATAAGTCGGCTTTGTAGCACTTCCTGTTCCATGGTCTGGAAGTGAATGGTGTTTTGAATGTGTTATTGGTTGTATTTCTGAAGCTAGCACTAGTCTGTACCTCTGTGTGCTTTATCAAGATGTGAACAACGTAAAAAGACCCACAAGAAACAGGACTGTGACCCACTTTGCTTCTGACTGATTGTTTTTGAGTCTGATGTAGAAGCACTGCTGTGATAAGCAGAACCTTCATCAGTCTATCAGTGTTTGGACAGCCTCTCTGCTGTGTGCCATCACTGTCGCTGCTTCAGTTCCTCCCTTTTGTTTCACATCTGAAGCATTCGGTTCTATAAATAGCAATGTTTCCCTTGGTTTTTCATGTTTTATTCATCCCAACAGCCGTGATGTGTCCCTGATTGTCTGGTTTGTGTTTTTGACCGATGTGTCGAAGGCTCGCTGTCGTTACATCTTCTCAGGCTGTTTCCCTCCACACAGCTGAGACTTATGGCGCGTTTCCACTGCAGGCCTCGCTCGGCCTCGCTCGGTTTGGTTAGGCCTTATTAGGCCCGGCTCACTTTAATGCTGTGATTCCGTTACAGTTTAGGAACTTGGGTAGTTACTATAGTAACGCAGTGTAGGTGGAGCCGTGACGTCATCTTCAATGAGAGCCCCAAAAAAACAACACAGCCGTTAGCTCTTAGCACTCAGAGCTCACAGCTCCTCATATCTGTTCAGAAACTAGACAAAAGTTAAACAAGTACAAACCACAGACTGCCTGTGTCATGGCGAATACAGTCGCTGATTTATTTATGTCTGTAGGCCGTTGTTGTGAGTGTGGACGGTCGGAGCATATATAACGTTAGCTTAGCCAAGCTACATTTAGAAAACACGCATTTTAAAGGGTTTCTCGCCTGCCGTCTGTCTGCAGACTTGTCAAAGCATTAATTCATGGTTTTTACTAACCGGTATCAGTATGTTGTTACTTCGGCATCATTTAGAAACCTGTATTACAATTAAATCACGGTCAAATATGTTCATCTTGTTGTAGTTGTAGCCCCCTTGCCAGCGATTCTCTCTCTGGTTTAGCATACTCAGCCCGACTCAGCCTGGTTGTTCCTAGCCCTAGAACCACGATTTAGTCGGGACAGAAAAAAGGTGAAAAAGTAGCCCCGGGCCAAAACTAGGCCAAGTGGAAGCGCAACCAAAAACGGGCCCCGCACGGCTCAGCACGCTTAAAGCGAGCTCCGCGCTGCAGTGGAAACGCGCCATTAGACTGAAGCTGAGCAAGGCCACATGTCACATATATTGCTTTTCCACCAAGGCAGTTCAAGGGCTGCTTAGGAGTTGGAGATAGAAACAGCGCCTGATTTAAAAAAAATAATAATTAAGGTTTCAACTGCAGAGGTGCTGGCTCTGTTGCCCCGAAAACTGGTTCAACTCGGGTACCAACTATTTGATAATCCGGCACAGAAAGACTTGCATCGTAGGCTGGGACAGGATTTACTTGAGGAACAACAGTTCATGGCGAGTAGGACAAAGAGTAGAAACGTATAGAAGTATTAAGTTGTTCTTGAAGAGTAGAAAGTTGCCAGAGAAGTTGTGCTTGCAATTAAATCTCTCTTCATTGTGGCGTTGCTGGTTTGAAGCAATGACGTAAACGATGATTCGTCTTTACGTGCCGTCTTTCGGGCTCTTATCGCTGAAAGGAGGGAAGTTTGCAAATTGAACCAACTCTTGCCCCAAAAAGAACCTCAAACCGATCTGTTTAGTGGAAAAAGGGGTAATAGTGTGTCAAACAATTATACCTTTTACTTTGAACACACAAAGAACCCCTCACCCCTCCCATCCTTTTATCTCTATGCGACATGTTGGTCTGGAAATGGGACGCCACCAACAGAGCTCATTTTAGTGGAAAAAGTGATAATACTGCATCGATTTTGGAGCTTAAATTGTGTCCCATGGGAAGATATGAGCCCAAAAGCTCCTCCTGTCTTGTTGTGCTTATCAAACAAATATACCTTTGCTTCAACCTCCCAAAGAATCCTCACCCCTCCCATCCTTTTGTCTCTATGCGACGTGTTTGTCTGGAAATGGGACGCCTCTCTTGTGCCTCCATTCTTCTCCCTGACCCTCTTTTCCCCGTCGCCGGTGTTCATTCCTGTGGACAGAGCAGCCGGTGGAATGAGGTCATCTCTTTCCCGGCTTTCCAAACCATGCTGTGCTAAATTCTTCACGCTGAGTCACTGTCGCGCTGTCACAGTCGTCCGAGCGGCACATTTACCCCGTACTTCACCATGGATACCTACGTTTGAATGTGTGTGTGCGACCAAAATAACCTTCCCCCTGAGAACTCAGATAGAGGTGTCTCTTTGTGAGTGGCAGTGGTTAAGGCGACAGCAATGAGAGTGTATAGAGTGGTGCAGGAATGAGTCCTAAAGCTTGTAAATGAGACATCATTTTAGCACTTCCTGTTTCCTCGTCTGGTGTTTTGAAAGTGTTTTTGGTTGTTAGTCTGAAATAAGGTCTGTGTTAACGCAAGAGATTTTAACGTTATGTTCTACGAAGTAAAATACGTTAGCAAATACCCCACTGGTGGATTTAAATACGGAGGTTGCTATCAAGTGTCTAAATGAGACGACTAAACCTTTAGTTTAGCGGTGATGACGTGAAGTCATGTGACCGTGCTGTAGTTCCTTTTTAAGTTTTCTGAATCCAATGGAAAAACCAATTGTCAATGGAACCGGGGAGATGCTAACTCTTGGCCGGCCTACAAAGTGTCATAACCAATTTCCACAGAGCCTTTTTTTATGTGCAATATTTCAAAATTCAGTGGAACAATCCCATTGGCTTTTAGTCAATGGAACCGATGCAATGCTAACTTCCGATTGGTGTACAAAAATACCTGCACCATGAGGGACTTTTGTGTGTGTTAATGACTGGATCTCCTTCAGTCTGTTTAGCGTAGTTAATGTCCTGTTCAGGGAGAGAGAAAGCTACCCAAAGCTTTTGCTAACTCCTTAAGATCTCCTACAGTTTTATAATTGCTTTCTTTCTCTCTCAGTGAGTAGAGCAGCTGGCCTCTCATTTCCACTCTTTTTCTTAGCTTTAGTTCGCCCAGTCTTCTCTCTCTCTCTCTCTCTCTCTCTCTCTCTCTCTATTCCCTCTCTCTCCTCTCTCTCTCTTCTCTCTCTCTCTCTCTCTCTCTCTATCTCTCTCTCTCTCTCTCTCTCTCTCTCTCTCTCTTTCTTCTTTCAGCCTCAATGTTCTGGCTTGGAAGAAGCTGAAGAGGAAAATTCCCCACATCATTGAATTGCATCGCTGTCGCCTTTCACTTAACATGAAAAATACAAACCGCTGCTCTGCTGGAAGCTTTGCTGTGGCTCGGTTCGCTTTCTTAGTTTGCCTTTCCTCTTTTGATCGGGGAACACAGGAGGACGAGTGTGAGGAATGTCCACCTCCTCATCACGCCTCCACGTCAGATACAGCCAGGGTTGCCATGGTTAGGCCTCTGTTTCACTGACAACACTCTCTTATTTCACCTCTTCGCTTAACCACTTTGTTTTCTGCAGATTCCCTGCGTCTGTGTGTTTCTCTTCTTCTGACAGATTAGACTCTCAGGTGGCACTGTACTGTGTTTCTGCAGCAGAGCTAACTCATGAAACCTTAACAGGGTCATTAGTACCTGCAGTGAATGCCACGGATACTTCTGCACATACCACAAAACACTGTATGTTATCAGACATTATGCATGTGTGTATTATTTTCCAGCAGGCAAAGCAAATTTAGGGCTGGGGGGGGGGGGGGGGGAATACACGTGTTGAACCGCTTCAACACGTGTATTTCGGTTTATTCACGGCATTCATTTTGTTATTCTACAGTATTGTTGTTTTATAGTTATTTGTTAATGTAACCCAATTTGTGTTCTTTGAAATTGAAAAGGATATCGCATTGTGTGTTACTTTCATTTGTGTATGTCTGAAGTGTAATTTGGCTTGGCTTCCTATTTATGGACATGCTTTTATTTTGAAGTAGAGGTAGCGCTGTTGACAGGAAGTTGTTGTTGCTATGGAAACAACGTGACGGAGATTAACGGAGAAAAGTAATATCTACATATAAAGACGGAGAAAGTAAACGATAACGTTTATGGTTAAGTGTTAGCACCCCCCGAAGAGGCACAAGCTCTTACGTTGATATTGGAGATTTCAATAAATTGAATTTGGGAAAAAACGAATATCCGAATAACGAAATTGAAACCCGAATAGTACTCCAACGAACGAATATTCGGGTACAGCCCTAAAAGCAATATGTATTGACTGAATTTAGTTTCAATAATGTCTCAATTCAACTCGTTTGATTCACTAACAAGCTGTAGGAGAAATATGTGGAATGGGACTCTGATGAACGGTCTTTATCTGGATAAATGAAATGTAAATGCACACATTGTGATTGGATTTCCAGAGCGGCTAACTATCAACGCCGACTCAAAACAGCAGGAATCCTTAAAGTACATTAGCTTTTTATAAACTAGAAGCCACTTCAAATGCTTCTCAATTAGCTTCTAAAAAGCTGAGTGCTTCATACAGAAGTGAGGATCTTTTTTATCGGAAAAAGTATCAGATTTCTGTTCAAAACATCCTCAATTAACGGTCCCGCGGGAAGAATTACATTCTGTATTTATTTGCCAGTAACAATCATAAATCTGTCTTTAGATCCCTCTTAGATTTGAAATATCTGTTATCCAGCAGAGCAAGAAGGGGAATTTGGGGGTAACCCAGCAGTCAGAGAAGTGAGAACATGTCTGAGACGAGAGGAAGGGGGGAGACACATCTCAATATTGAAGGGGGTTGAAAGAGGGCAGACCTCTACAGACAGGACTGAGATTTAAGAATAAAAGAGAGAGAGCAGAGAGGAAAGAAAAACAGCAAAATGTGGGGGCAGAACGGGACGGAGTTATGGGGGAAACAGAGCAGAGGGTGCAGGGGGGCGGCCAGCATTGTGCCTCACAATGGGGGCTTTGTGC